GTTAACTCGTCCTGTTGATATGTACTTTGTGGACCTAGAGAAAGCCGTTGACCTTATTCCGCGCAACAATCCATGGGCGTGCCTGCGAACATATGAGATCGTTGGCCGGCTGCTACGGACCATGCAATCATTATATGTCGATAGCAGGTGCTGTGACAGAGTAAATGGCTTTAAATCGAAACCTCTCAGAGTTGGCACCGATCTCCGCCACGACTGCTTTCTGTCCCCTCTTATGCTTGTGCTGTACATGGATAGTGTAGTCAGGCGCAGCCAGGGCAATGCGTGGGTTAGCGTACGAGTTGAAGAAACGAGAAGGTTTCTGTTTGGAGTAGACCGTGTTTTGTTGACATCTTCTGCAACTGATTTCCAGCGCTCTTTGGAAAGGTTTGCAGCTAAGTACATGTAGCTGGCATACCTGTGAACATGTCTCACATGAAATGCTTAGTGCTAACGTTTTCTTGAGCCCGTTACGCTGTTCAGTTGAACGGAGAAGTGGTGGTGTAAGTGGAGAAGTTCAGTTGTATTGGAGTCGATATTGACCGGGATCACGGGCAATGAAAGGAAGAGATGAACCGGCGGATTCGAGTTGCCAGTGGCGTTTTACTAGTGAACTATTCCGAACCATTGTGGCTAAAGCAGAGCTCAGTTTGAAGGCGAAGTTCGATCTTTCTCTCCCTGCTCACCTACGGTCATGAGTCAACCTTGACTGAAAAACTTCGAACCCGGAAGCAAGTGGCTGAAATGGGCTTTCTGTGACGAATTGCACATGTGTCTCATGCTCCAGAGTAGAAACATCCAAAAGAACCTTGTACAGCCGCTGTTTCTTCAGATTAAGAAGTCACGGGTGCGATACGGGCACGTCTTGCGAATGTTTTCAAACAGGAATGCAAAACAGGTTCTACTTCCCCCATGGACTGACCGAAGACCTTGGAACGGACAAGAAAACCCTGGGGCAAGTTTTTGGATATACTCTGCTTCAGACTCGACTTATTCTCTACCGAAGTTCAGGGACATTGGTAGCATTGTCTTGCGCGTCTGCATCATTGACCGGAAAGGATAATTGGTCATCGAAACTGATCAACTTATATTTGTGCTTGATACACGGCATAAGGTTTTTCACCCCTCCACCAGACTTTTCCTCAGTGAGCTCAGATGCAGACGTCTCATATCCGGCGGTTTCTTTCGTTTACTACCTCCTGTAGCACTCCTCACGCAGGGGGCACGAATATAATCACATAATTGCTGCCATTGTTCATTTTCTGAACTTGAAAGTAATTATTACTTTATACGATGAATAAATTCTTAGTTTTGAGCAGTTCCTTCATAGATAAAGACTAAAAAAAAGTGTATAGGTTGAACGTCAGCTGGTTGTTCCATCACACATCATCATCTCGTCAATAAACCAGTGCTTCTAAATGGTGTTCGTTTGAATGTTGTTTTGTTTAGCGGAAGCTATTTCGAAGCAGGGCCTAATTATCAAAGGTTTGCGACGTCACCGAGGCGAACGATGGGGTATCGTCAAGTATCGTTATTGTAACGTGTTCGTACGATTGCAGGAAGGCAGTCCTCCTGAAAAGTTTAAGCGATTCGGACCGTACAATGGCTGGAAGAAACTTGAGGAATGCGTGGATAATCTACGAAAGCGGCGGATCGTCGAAGGACTTTGAAGTTTTCACAGGAATTTGAATCGATACATCGCTGAAATTTGCTAGATTCTGTTTTGGTGACGTAACATTTACTTTGCCTTGTCGGTGTATGTCTTTATGGTAATGATTGTTTTTAAATGAATATACTGATGCTTAGAGATTTTTCAGTTAACGTCGTGGCTGTGTTACTGAAAAGCGTGATGTTGAATGAAAAAACAACTTGCGGCTTGAACCCATTTGCGATTTACACTAACACTAGAGAGATATTTGTTGGCTTCGTTACTTAAACGTCATAATCATGGTTATGTGGAGTTATAATTGAATGTATATCATTGGAAAGTAATTCCCCCGTAGAAATGAGAGGAACGTAGGAATTTGGTTCCTTTAGTAAAATTTCCTCTGTGTACATTATCACTCACTGCTCAACATATGTTTAAGAGTGAATGAAAAATAACAGCAAGCCGAAAAATTAAGTAATTGAAATATGCATTTGCAAAGGAAATCTTCAAGCATCTTGAGAGGTGAAGTTTGAAAGCATTTACGAGAGTTTCGACGATTGATTGTCACTCTGATTCAAGAGCCGCTTATAGCTTCGGTAGTACGGCAGGACGTTATGCAGTTGGAAATGTGATCGAAGGTCAACAGACAAG